ACATCTGGTATTGAAGTTAGTCTGCAATGCCTGTATTAGTTCACACAACAGGACTGTGACAATATATATCTATGCATTAATGTCTGTTAGAAACAAAAGAGAAATCATAAAAATAGAGGGAATACAATGTTAAAGAAACTGAAAGAAGAGCTCTACCCAGTCAAACAAAAACCACTGTGTTATGGGAGGGGGAGGGAGATGGTTAGCAGACTGCTCACCCTGGTCGCATCAGTTTGGAGATAAACCGCACCGAGCTGAAAATTTTTCGCAGTTTTTGTTTCGATGTCCTTGACCTGCAAGAAGCATTTAGTATGTCTGTGACTTGTTGAAGTTGCAGCCTTAAGAACACCAGAGAGAGGCCCCCGGGAAATGATGGTATGAGTTTAACAGTGTACAACATGGAGGGGGGATGTGATGGTTTAGTACCACTGTACAACCTGTTTCTACTGATACTTCATGATACTAGTATAGTATATAGTATATACATCATGGGATGTACAAACATGGGTATAATGTGTAGTTACTAATACATCATGATACAATCATGGGATGTACAAACACGGGTACAATATGTAGTTACTAATACATCATGATACAATCTTGGGATGTACAAACACGGGTACAATATGTAGTTACTAATACATCATGATACAACCATGGGATGTACAAACATAGGTACAATATGTAGTTACTAATACATCATGATACAATCATGGGATGTACAAACATAGGTACAATAAGTAGTTACTAATACATCATGATACAATCATGGGATGTACAAACATAGGTATAATGTGTAGTTACTAATACATCATGATACAATCATGGGATGTACAAACATAGGTACAATATGTAGTTACTAATACATCATGATACAATCATGGGATGTACAAACACGGGTACAATATGTAGTAACTAATACATCATGATACAATCATGGGATGTACAAACATAGGTACAATAAGTAGTTACTAATACATCATGATACAATCATGGGATGTACAAACATAGGTACAATAAGTAGTTACTAATACATCATGATACAACCATGGGATGTACAAACATAGGTACAATATGTAGTTACTAACACATCTTGATACAATCATGGGATGTACAAACATAGGTACAATATGCAGTTACTAATACATCATGATACAATCATGGGATGTACAAACATAGGTACAATATGTAGTTACTAACACATCATGATACAATCATGGGATGTACTAACAGAGGTACAATATGTAGTTACTAATACTTCATGATACAATCATGGGATGTACTAACATAGGTACAATATGTAGTTACTAATACATCATGATACAATCATGGGATGTACAAACATAGGTACAATAAGTAGTTACTAATACATCATGATACAACCATGGGATGTACAAACATAGGTACAATATGTAGTTACTAACACATCTTGATACAATCATGGGATGTACAAACATAGGTACAATATGCAGTTACTAATACATCATGATACAATCATGGGATGTACAAACATAGGTACAATATGTAGTTACTAACACATCATGATACAATCATGGGATGTACTAACAGAGGTACAATATGTAGTTACTAATACTTCATGATACAATCATGGGATGTACTAACATAGGTACAATATGTAGTTACTAATACATCATGATACAATCATGGGATGTACTAACAGAGGTACAATATGTAGTTACAAATACTTCATGATACAATCATAAGATATACAAACAAATAATAATCTGCTGTTTGAAAATTTTTTGAAAAATGGAAAGAAACAAATTATGGCACACTCATCATCATCATCATCTGTGCCACGGCAATAACTGTGACTTCCCCTAGGTAGTCATCCCATATTTTCACCAGTTTCACATAAGAGTTACGTTCCCCTGATGATGCCATTTGTCCAAGCCACTAGGAATTTATTTCTTGCTCAATTGCCATCAGGTTCAACAGTTGTCACTAAATTATTAAATTATGTGTCACATTTTGTATTTCTCTTCATAACACATCTGGACTTTCTACACCCTGCTAATTAATTTAAGGCTGTTCATTTGTATTCTAAAGAACTGCTTCATTTGTTTGTACCTCCATGGTCATCTCTGCCACGGTCAGTTGCTCTCAAATGGTCAGTTTACTGTGCAGGAGTCACGGTAAAACAGATTACATTACATAAACACCGACAACTACACACACACAGTTTCCTAGAGTCTACAACATCTAGACCTACAGCAGCTGATCACACATTTAGCCATAAACCCTTGCACCAGCTGTCCAGTGCCAACAGCTAGTTTCAATATAATCATCATCAAGTGCCTTGCTGACTGGCTTCTCCAACAACATTTATCTGCTCCAGTGCTGAAACCCTTCCATGACATGACAAAAGGCTGTCAATGAGTCTTCTCAAGTTGTCTCCCTTCCCAACAAGAAAGCAATAACAGCAAGTTTACAGAAACTTAAGAAGTAATTATAAAAACACTTTTACAAAGGATCAAACATATAGAGAACCATACAAGCAAGTAATAATAACTATACAGAAACAAAGTCTACAGAAACATACAATGAAACCATAATAACAATTACAAATAAACATTACAATAAAGCAATAATGACATTTATACAGAAACATACAATGAAGCAATAATAAAAAATATATAGAAAATAAAAATGTAGCAATAACAAAAAATATACAGAAAGTTACTATGTAGCAACAACAACAAACATTTATAAATATACTTACAATGTAGCAACAACAAATATATATATTTATATGCACACAATGTCTTCTAGGCAAAGTATCTCTCAGATATGGTATCTATCTATAATGGCCAAGTTAGATAAAATTCACAGCTCATCTCACAAGAAGTAGCGTTCAACCCTCTGCTGAATTTAGTAAATACTGATCCTTATAAAATTGTTTAAATTTGTAAGCATCTTGGGAACATTTCGGTGAGTCACTAGCAGAAAATGAGAAAACAGCCAGCAGAAAATTTTTCAAAGTAGTTAAAAATATGCGGAAAAGAGATGAGAGCTACAACCCCACTGAAATAATAAATGATAAGACAGGAAGGCCATTGATAGATCCACCTGAGATAGCAGAAAGATGGATGGAATACTTTAATGAGCTCTTTAATCCTCTAGGAGATCATCAGGAAAGAACAACTGAAGAGCACAGAGCAACAGTGTTAGAACCACACATACTAATGGATGAAATAGAAAAAGTCATTAAACAGTCTCCCAAATATAAAGCACCAGGAGCTGATATATTACCAACATAAATAATTCAAGCAGCAGGTGAAAGCAGCATCAGATGGCTTCACAGAATATTCAATGCAGCATGGGTACAACAAACTGCCCCTATTGATTGGCAACATGCAATAGTTATACCATTGTGGAAGAACAAAGGAAGCAAACGAGAATGCGGTCAATATCGAGGCATCTCTCTTTTAAGCCATGTTGGCAAAATGTATGCCAAGATAATAGAAACAAAGCTGAGACCAGTAATAGAACCACAGCTGGCAGAAGAACAGATGGGATTTAGGAGAAATAGAAGCTGCACAGATGCAATCTCCACACTTAAACAGTTAATAGAAAAGAACATTGAATACAATAAGAACTTATTTGTGGCATTCGTAGACCAGGAGAAGGCATTTGACAGAGTCGACAGACAATTATTATAGAAAATAATGGCAAGATATGGAGTAAGCGAACACCTCATCAAAGTGTGCAAAAGTTTATACAGGGATTGTAGAAGTGTAGTTAGAATAAATCAGGGAACATCTCATCCTTTCACAGTGACATCTGGAGTAAGACAGGGGTGTGTCTTATCACCACTGCTGTTTATCACCTACATCGACAGTATATGCAAGAATGCCAAGCCCATGAATGAAGATCTTAGTAAGAACAACAAATTACTCTTTGCAGATGACCAGGCCTTGATAGCCGATACAGCCATGAAATTGCAACAACATCTAACATCCATGAATGAAGAAAGTAAAACAAATAATATGAGAATCAACACTGAAAAGACAGAAGTAATGTCAATAGGAAAAAAAGAAGACAGATCTAAACATAGCAATAGAATACAAAGGCATTAAACAGGCATCTGAGTTTAAATATCTGGGAACTACATTTACCGACGATGGGAAATTGGATAAAGAAATTGACATTAGATGCAGTAAAGCAAACCAAGTATAGGGACAGCTAGCTCCACTCTTACAGCATAAGACAATCCTAATCAGCACAAAGAGACATCTTATTCAAAGCATATTTATTCCAACTCTGTGCTACCAGTGCCAGACATGGTCACTCACAACAAACCATAAAAGAAAATTAGTAACCACGGAAATGAGATGTCTGAGAAGGGCTGTAGGAGTGACCATAAGAAGTACGACCAGGAATGAGATCATAAGAGAACAAGTCGGCACAGAACCAATTCTGGATTACATACAAAGACAGCAAGTGAAATGGTTTGCCCACTTGGAGAGAATGCCTTGTGACACCATACCATACAAAGAGAAGAAGGACATAGAGCACGGGGTAGACCAAGAACAAGATGGAAGGATAACATCAGAGAAATTCTACAACAGCACGATGTGCCTATGGTCGAGGCAGCCAGAAGAGCTAGAAACAGAACCGTATATCTCCCTCGACACCCACAGCGGTAAAAGAGGAAGTGAAGAAGAAGAAGAAGAACACATTTGATACACACACACATATATATATATATATATATATATATATATATATATATATATATATATATATATATATATATATATATATATATATATATATATATATACACGAACTTACAATAAAGCAATAAAAACAAATATGCAGAAATCTACAATGCAGCAATAACAATAAATACACAGAAAGTTACAACCTAGCAAAAATATAAAAATAATATAATATATTTATAAACTTACAAAGTAGTAATACAACAAACACGCAGAGACTTACAAAGACATTAACAACAGATATGCCAGCTTTACCTTTTACGCATCTGAGATGAGCCATGTGTACCATCGTCAGTGCTGTCAGTAGCATCCTGGTGATAGAGCAGCCAGCGGCACAACCATTATTTTATCATTAGCTTAGATCTTTTTATCATGTTAACTAGCCGCTAATGAATCTTCTTCGTCTTTGCTTTCACCGGATGGAAATTTGGGGAAAGTCCTAGTTTTATTTCCATCTACTTCTGGACTTAGGCCTTGTTTCAGAAATTCAGTGTTGTATGCACATCTGTTTCACAGGTCTGGGCTATTTGTACGCAGACTCTTGGTTCTTCACCTCTCAGGAAGAGGTACGCTGACTCTGAAGGATGCCCCCAACTACTTGACTCCTATGACTTGATTGTTGGGCAGGCAGTGGGTCTATTCTTGTGTTGCCTACAATCTAGCCTTGGAATGCACATAGGGAGCTAATGAATCAGCACCATGTATCCTGCCCATGGTGCAGACATTCCCCCTTGCTGTTTTTGTTGAATCAGTTTTACTGAGACCACTCTCCCATGGCACCATCTAAAACCACTCAGCATCACATATCTCTACCTGCCCCTGAACTGTTCGACTGCTGCCCTTTGCAACAGCGAAGAAGCCAGTGGGTGTGGCTGTGGCTGTCTGGAGTATGTTACACAGCTGGTGTAGCTGTCTGGAGTATGTTACACAGCTGGTGTAGCTGTCTGGAGTATGTTACACAGCTGGTGTAGCTACTTCAGTAAAATTTTTAAAATGCCCTCTACACCAATAAAACCAGCACAGTTAGATAGCTGTAAACAATTTCTTTCCAATGGTACCTCATTTAGGCTTGTATGTCATTTCTGAGCTGAGATATGTAGGTTTTGTGGAGATGAGATGTAAGAAACAGCCGCTAAAACTTGTGACCCAGAAACAAGAAGTTTTTTACTGCGCAACCTACTGCGCAGTTCTGTATCGGCTTTGTTTACATTGGACTGTCATTGGACAAGATGGCAGGCAATGAGACTCAGCCACTGGCTGAGCCAGCGATTGCCTGAAAAATGTCACTGTACATCTACCTAGCCACCGTCCAGAAAGAAATTTCATACACAAATGTAAAATTGGACGGAGAATTCAAATTTACCCAGCAATACCAGGACGAGTAACAGTTAAAGCCTAAAGCCAACCTCGAATTCACCGCTATTTTCAATCAAACTGATGACTAACAGAAAAACAGAGGACGTCCGGCTGTCGTAGACATGCGCTGTTAATCGGGTTCCCTCCCGCTGTTTTCAGCTATTTATAGCTGGTCCAAATTCCCACCAATGGCAAAATTTCATGAGAGATTTGGACCCATACGGAAACCAGCCGAGATTTCTGAACAAGTTCTGAACGGTTTCCGGGTAACGGAAATTGCCGAAAAGACCGCAAATTGTCGAAACTGTAGTCCCTAGCTGGTGTAGCTGTGTGTCTGTTATAATGTGCTGTACTTTAAAAAATTTAAAATGCTGTTACTGATGTGGGGGGGGGGGGGGGCGGCGGTGTGTAGGGAGGTTTTATTATGCTGCTAAACCTTTTGGGTATGTTATTAATATTAGTGTTAGCTAGTGGGGAAAAAAACATGACACAAATTCAAACTGTAAACATACGTGTCATCAGAAGTTTGAAGTATCAAAACAGTACAACACGATCTTACATAAAACCAAGAATATCGCCATCTGCAGCCACCCAAAGATCGCATTGATTCTTGAGGTAACGAGTGCAATAACAATGACATAATGACAAGCCAGCCGTAACAATGCCAACACTGCAGCTGAGCCAGTCTTTACAGACACTGTAGGCTCAGCGACGACGTCAAGTGTTACGAGGCGATCGACCTCGACCATGTAAAACAAAATTACTAAATAAACAACAATTACCAAATCCTGCTCCAGGCTGGGGCTAGGTGAGCGCTGAATTGTCACTAAAGCCATCTGTGTGTTCAAGTGTCAGGGCGGCACCCTCTTGACATGCTCCATGTTTTATTTCCGAGAAGAAGAAAAATTAAAACGAGAGACTCCAGCTGCGGGAGCCCGTCTCTCTCAGGAAACCCACCCTTGACTGCAGACGACGGAAGTCTGGCTCCTGGTCTCTCAGAGTCACCTCCCCTTTTCACCACCATGGTTGTCACAGACGCTGCTGTCTCTTCGCTCCCTTCCCCCAGGAGTGTATGTGGTCTGTAGTAATTGACTGTCTGCCATACAAGAGCAAATGACATAATAAGAAGATGTACTGATTCGTATACTCTATGAGCATAAGAAATTCCAGTGAACTGTGACAGTGACACCACCATATTTTCTCTACGAGTATAAGCACGGTCGACTTGATTATAGCCAGATGGCAAGCTGAATAGAGAGTAGTTAGACAGTCTTTTCTCTTGGGCCTAGGGCGGCGCATAGGCATAGGGCAGAGATCATAGCTCTATCTGTCTGATGGTTCGTTGCCACCTGCTTTACAGGTCTTGGATGTTTGTTAAGCCCATGAATGGGCCTTCCCTAATGATAGAGTATAGAGTAATCATGACGTTTTTTTGTACAGACATTGACAGCCTGTCACAAAAGAGCAAATGACATCAGTAAAATGTTTACTAAAAATCTAAAAACTTACTACTAGCATATACACGATTACTACAAGCACATGCACTATGTACAGTCACCGACTGCCCGTCGTCGTCGTGAAGCAAAGGGCTTCATTAATAACCGACTACTACATAAGTATAAAGTATTTATACAGAAACAAACACTCTGTAATATGTGAACAGAGGACACCAATATCAATAAGAATATATTCACCAAAGCCAGATGTACAAATAGGTTTCACCACCACACTGAAGAAAGGCTATAATGTGTATCTATCATCTGCAATTATCGCACAAACTCAGGGCAGAGAATGTCGTAAAATGCGTCTGTTGCCTGGCTACCAAATAAGCCAACATTGGAGCCTGCTCTCCCAGGAACAAGTATTATCTTTCTACTGTTAACACCTTTTCCATGTTTCATGCTATTGTGTTACATTATGCTGCGTAAAGGAATGACAATGAAGTTTCTCCTCCCCATAAAGCTTGTGCAATTTTATAGAGACTGTATGTTGCCTATGCAACATGATTCCCCCCACTGTCTTGTCTACACTAAAGAACACCATTTCTTTTGGAAAAGAACAGCGTCCCGTCTGCCTGTCGGAGCTTCCCTTCTAAACCTGCTGCCAACAAAACTAAAGGTCTAAGTCGTCCCCATCTTTAGCAGCCAGTGAAAAGTTCCGATACTAATGGTGCCAGTAGCATTCTGATTAAACGTCCGTCTTGCCTTTCCTCTGAGCCTCGAGCATCTGCCAGAACCTCTCGTCACTCCCCCTGCACCAATCTCATCAGACTGTGGTGATCCATCTGCTCCTAAGAAAAGGCCACTCTCCTCACCAGTGCCTCCTCCACTTAAAGAATTTGGCAGTGTGAGATATCAGGCTTGGCTTACACCACCAAACATTCGGCATAAACTGGGAGACAATCATTACTACCAGCTACTCATGTACTGTCATAATATTCATATTGCTTAGTCCGGCTCTCTAGCGTAGTTGGCTAAACTGGATTGCGCGGAGACCGGATGACGAGCTCCTTGTGGTCCGGGTTCACTCTCGGGGGTAGGCAGAAAAGCCACATTTTTCTTAGATTTACGGTATTTACAATGGAATCAAGGCTGAAAGTTTGCGATATCCATAATACCGAGCCTAAGGGTGAACAACTCAAGGCTTATGGATATTAAAACAAACAAACATTCCTATTGCTTTACCTTAGACTTGATTTCGTGTAACCATTGGTGGGAAATTGATTGATGGGTTTCAGAACGTACAGAAAGACACACACATGCACACGCTCCACGCGCCACTAGGTTGTGCTGACTTCATATCTGGAGCTCTGCTAAATGCTCTGTCAGTTTAGTTAGTAATTTTCTAGAATATTATGTTCAACCCTCAGGGTTATAATTGGGATATATATATAGCGTTATTTGCCTAGGGTAGGAGCCAGTCCTATTCCTAGGCGCGTCCACCAGGTGGCGGATGTTGGAAAGGCCTCTAGATATAAAGGTTAGCCACGAATATATTGAGTAAGTGGCCGTGGAGCGAAACAGGTGGTGGTCATTGAGAGGAGGCGAGTTAGTTGGTGGGACAGCTAACTCCATAAAATACTTCAAAACTCTACGACATGGCCATCGGCGGGTAAGAGGCGCCATGACCTCTCCTGGCGTGGGCGATCATGCCTCTCCATAATCCACCACCTCCTGCAGCATGTATCAGTTCGTGTGCCGACATACCTCCATGTCATGCAACAAGACTGTCAAGAATCTTCTCTCTTTGTCTTCCTCTGTCCCTCCTTAAAGAGATCTTTCCAGTGGTCACAACATGTTCTATTTTCCCTCTTATCATAGATCACCAACTACAATAATTTCGAGAATATGTTCTATACACTTATAATTGTTTCGCTCATGGATGTAACACAAAATAGATAGATCTGTTTGCTGTCTTTTCCGCCGCCACGCTAAATATTCCTATCGTGTGTATGTGTGTGTATTAGGTCTTCAGTCTTGCAGTCGATCGTTCGGTTTGGCACCCCCGGAGTGATTCGATTTGATTCAAATGTTAAAGACAGTGTTCGTGTAAGGATGATCCAGCGATACGTCAAGCAAACCGACAGCTGATTTGAATGTTTCACAGCAACTATTATATAAATGGTTTATGGAATCATTAAATGTATCAAACGGAAAAGTATCCAGCAGGATGCCAGAACTGACTCTCTTTCCCTTTGGGTGAAGTGCATGGTAAACGATCTAGACAAGCGATACAATTGGGACGTGGAAAATCTGTGTTCTCGGAAATATATATATTGAAATTGTAGTTGAGACAAAAGGCAAGACTGTTGTAATGTTAATATCAGATTATAGGAACAAAAGGTAACAAAATACATAATAACTGTGGCATTGCTTGGAGCGGCGTCAAGAAAGACCAGAAGGCTAGGCATAAAGATGGCTTTATTCTGCACCCTGATATACCGAAACAGGCTGAAAAAAATCCAGTGTGGAACCATATCTGGGTCGAGCATATAGTGAATTCAGAGGAGCAAGGCGATGTAAGTAAAGTAATGTAAAGGACCCTTTTCCACGCCTTTAGGCGTATAGGGCAAAAGATAGGGGATTTGGTCAGCATCACGCCGGCTGCCTTTACTTTCCGGGACTGCACCCGGTAACCACTCAAGGCTGGGTCGGCCTGGGAACCAAGGTCATTTTTGAAGAAAAGCCCGACTCCGCTAGGGAGCGAAACCACGACCTTCCAATCCGCAGCGCGCGTCTAGCCGCTCTGCCACGGTGACTCCCCCGGCGATGTACTGGTTCTAAGTCCTAAAAAAACCAGCGGAAAGACAATAGAAGACAGATGTTGTACGCTGTATTAACCCCTGTGTATATTATGGGTGTAAGTTAGTTAGTTATTCCTCTTGTGCCAAAGATGGCGCATAGGGCAGAGGTCATAGCTTTCCACGTCTGTCGGTTCGTTGCCACTTGATGTAGGTCTTGAGTGCGACTGAGACCTATGGTTGAGCTCTCCCTTGTGATGGTTCTACGGAGAGTTTCTTTTGGTCTTCCCTGTTTTCTTTTACCCTCTGGTATTATGGGTGTACAGAGCACTTATTTATATTAGTTCATACAATGTCTGTTTTCGCATCGATACTGCTTATCTTTAAACAACCAAGTATGTAGGCCTAGGCACGGCCATCTTTAGATATAAAGTTAAAGCCGGATGTGGCCTAGAGTGCCTACTCCAATATGCCGCTGGATCTCTCCTTGATGAGATTTGCCATACTGTTCTTTCTAGTCTGCCTCTATTTCTCTGGCAGTACAGCCCCTCGGCCTAAAAGGCTTATGCGCCATGCTTGACGACTTTCATGTGCCCAGAGTGTCCTACAATAAGCCACCGGATATAGCAGATTACTGAGTAACTGTCGTAGGGCATTTTATCATTGTTTTAAAAGTCGAAGGAGGTTTCTCCAGTTTGACTCATCAAAATTGTCACTTTCAATCACTCCCTGTGGTGGGGGTGTGCGTGCGTGCGTGTGCGTTTTTTTTTTAAAGGCTGCAATCCTGGATGGGTAAACACAATTTAGTTAACATACTTCCCCTTCCATTTCTAGACTATACCGTACACTTGTATTGCGCCTGTCCCCTTTCTCCGACATCTTCATGGCATACCCATGTACTGTTCGAATCACCTGCCCTTTTATGTCCAACCTCTAAGCAAAACATCTTTCCAACAGCCGCTACCTCAGATGTGTGGACTTGGGATACGATAACCATCCAGAAATCAGAGTTTGTGCCTCAACATCCATTCTGATACTGGATAGAGTAACGGTTGTCGCGCTCACTCTCCGTTGTAAGCCGCGTCCATTTACTTTTACACTAAACTCCAACCACTTTTTTTTTTTACTACTCACTATAGTCCCATTAGCGGCGTCCGTGGCTAAGGCGTTGCGAGTCTGACTCGTAATTCAACGTACCGCGATCGGAACTTGCGTGGGTTGCGTGGATTTATATCGTGGTATGGGACGTCGCAGGTCGACCCAGCCTCAAATGGGTACCAGGATGGCTGTCCTGGGAAAGTAAAGACGGCCGGCGTAATGCTGACCACATTACCCACCTAGTGCCGATTGGTCTGAAAAAATATGGGACACTCTGCCCATATGCCCGATGCGCCGAAAGGCGTGAAAAGGGATCTTTACTTTTTTCCCATTGTCGGCTCTGTGGCTAAGTCGATGCGAACGCTTCGTAATGCCGGGTTCGATCCCAGCTGCGGGCCATGCGCCTTGCGTTGGCTTTGACAGTGGTATCAAGAAAGCCGAACGTCTAGAAAGCAATGGCAAACTACTAGACGCAAATTGCCTAGAAAAACCTACAAC